TAAAAATAATAATAAACTAAATTAAGTTAAATTATTCTAAAAAAATAATTAATCTCTGTTGTTTATAATCCACCTAATTTATGGTATTCTATTACAATGGTTCTCACAGACTAAGAACAGGAACAACTTAGTCTTACGGTAATATGACCTGATCATTTTCTAGTCCTACAGCTTAGTATTAATCCTGGAGCCACATAATAAAAACCATCTTTGGGTCCATAACAGGGGGTGTTATAGGTAAGGCCATGCACATTACTAAAAACTAACATCAAATCAAGTATCACATGCTTTAGAGTTTGGATGATTTTTAAAAGTCACCTAATCAAATATCCTCAAAGGTTTTAAAGAATGACTTTCTTATTTTAGTAAAATATGTATGCTTGTTTTTTATTTTTAATTCAACAAATATGGCCAAATAATTTAAAAAAGTAAATAACTTCCCAAAGATTATTTCAATCTTTGAGGAACAGAATACACAAATACACATAGAAGGATAACTAGAAATAGAGTTAGAAGGGAGGATCATACAGTATCTGCTATTTTTTTAAGCAAAAGTTTTAATTTTTGAATACTTTTCGATTTATAGAAATACTGCAAAGGTAATATGAAATGTTCTTGTGTACTCCTCACCCAGATCCTCTGTGGTTAATATAATATAATATACACACACATATACATATTTACTATATAAAGAGATTTATTATAAGGAATTGGCTCATAGGATTTTATGAAGGCTGTGAAGATCTGAGTCGGCAATATGGCAACCCAGGGAAGCTGATGTGCAGTTCCAGATTAAAGGCCAGTAGGCTTTAGACCCAAGAGGAGTTCATGTTTCAGTTCAAGTGTGAAAGCTAGAAAAAAAATCCCAGTTCAGATCAGAGAGGCAGGATTTTTGTTCTATTCATGTCTTCAACTGATTAGGTAAGGCCCACCTATACTAGGGAGAGCAATTCACTTTACTCTTGCTACCCATCATCCAAAGGTGAACTTCAGACTAAGAAGTTTCTGCATGGCAAAAGACACAGTGATTAGTGTGAATAGACAGCCTTCAGAATGGGAAAATATTTTTGTAAACTATGCATCAGACAAGGGACTGATAACCAGAATTCACAAGGAACTCAAGCAGCCGTTCCAGAAAAAGACAATCAATCCTATTAAAAGATGGGAGAATGAGTTGAAAAAAACACTCTCTAAAGATGACATATGAATAGCTAAATGGCATATGAAAAAATGCTCAACATCCCTCATTGTAAGAGAAATGCAGATCAAAACAACAATGAGATATCACCTAACCCCAGTCAGAATGTCTCAGATTAAAAATACAAAAAATGATAAGTGCTGGAGGGGGTGTGGTGAAAAGGGAAGTCTCTTACACTGCTGGTGGGATTGTAAATTGGTCCAACCACTGTGGAGAACAATTTGGAGATTCCTCCAAAATCTACAGATAGAACTACCATATGATCCAGCAATCCCACTCCTTGGTATCTACCCGAAGGACAGAAGAATACTTAATCGAAAAAGTGCTTGCAAATCGATGTTTATTGCGGCACTTTTCATGACTGCTAAGTCATGGAAACAACCTAAATGCCCACGAACTGATGAATGGTGTATGTCCCCACCTAATATATACTGAGTGTCTGCACTCTAAAAAAAAAATAAAAAAATTGAAACCATACTGCTTCTGTTGTTATAGAGTCATAAAATTATACAAAATTACAAGAAATATTTTGAACATTATCTTTAAAATTCAGTATTTTGAAATTTTGAAAGTTGTTTGTAGACTGTCAAGAACTATGGAGTATGAGCTAAAATTTTTTGATATGTAAAGTAAATGTTTGTGGAAAAATGTAAAAATAAATAAATAAACTAAGCCCCCCCCCCAAAAAAAAGTAAAACCCAAGGTTTAAGCAATTCCTCTAGATAAATCACTAAAAGAATATGCCAGAAGAAATAAAGAAATATTTGGAAGAAAAAAAATCAAAACAAAACAAAGGTGAACTTCATCAAGAACACACCCACAGACATACCTGTGGTCCAGTCAAGTTGATACATACAATTAACCATCACAGGTATATGGGCTATTTTTAATCCATTTATTAATATCCCTTGCCAGGTCATATCATAAGTGACATCCTTGGCTTCAAATGCTCACAGCAAGCAGGCAATACTCTCTCTTTTTTTTTCTTTTTTCAGGTTTTTGCCATACAGCATGTGCACTTGTCAAAGAAAGAGACAGAGACTGTCTGTGGGGAGGTCCACACCAAAATTCCTTCCCCTCCATTCTCCTCTTGGGATTTTGAGCTTTTGCTCATGTGTGTATGTGTGCTGGCGTGATTTTCAAGCTGCCAGGTCTGGAACTTGAACTGCAATCAGCCATGTGGGAATCCATTGCCTTAACCACTATCCTACCAGCTGGCCCCCAGGCAGCTCTCTTGATGCCCTCACACACTGTCATTAGTTCAGCTGGATGCTCTCCATGAGTCAGCTGGGTTTGGACTCAAACTTTTAAAGTATTAGAGTTAGGCCAACTAACAAAATATACATGCAAACACAACAGATTTTTGTTTCCATTAAAACTAGGATTGTAAGGTTTAAATGGATGGACCTTTCTTGAAGGGAATGGGAAGAAGGATGAACATGCTTCTCAAAACTTGAAATAGTTTAATTTAGTGGAGAACACCAAAAAAATGTTTATCCTCCCACTGCTAAGTATAACATATATCGTTTTACATTTCTTCATCCTTGGTGTCTTTTGTAAGAGTAGAATAAACACACAATAATGACTTACTGGGGGAGAAAAGAAAAATATCTCAACATCTGAGATATAAAAACTGCCCCCAAACATTAAACAGGCACAAGAATGGAAAGGTATTGCATACAGTTATATCTTTGACTTGCTTGCTTGACACGAAATGCATTTCTGCTTTGAGAGTCCATATCATGTGCTATAAAAACATACAATGGTTAAATGTAAATAAACTTTAAAACTGCCATTAAAAAAAAAAACTAGGTTGAATATGTTAGAAACACTGAATGAATGTCATTCAAAATTTTCTCTCAAAATAGGTGTAAAATTGACAGTGTTCATATATTATGAGCAATGGGGAGGAGAAAGGGTCTATATTTAGATTCCTTCCCAAGTATCTTTCAGTTCTTCTTTCATTTTAAAGAAATTGAAACTGGAAATCCTAGAGAGTATATTACCCATAGAGTTCATGCAAAATGGATGTCCAGGGGGAATTTCAATCAGGTGACTACTCTCAAGGAAAAGATCTTGGCTCTAAAACGATAAATTAAGACTGGCAAATGACACATGACTGTATAAAGTTTTGCTTATGTTAAAATAATATCTGCAATTGGGGAAGATGAAAAAGTTCTGGAGATGGCAAGTGGCGATGGTTCCTCAACAATTAGAATGTGATTAATGCCACAGAACTGAACACTTAAAAGTGGTTAAAATAGTAAATTTTATGATTGATATATATGCTATATAGCAGTGTTTGAGATATATACACATGAGTGTGTGTGTATATAATTACAATTAAAAACATAAGTGCAGTAACTTAAAATGGTGCTAAGAATGGTAACTTTTATGTTATATATATATGTTATATAACATATATATGTTATGTTATATATATATATGTGTGTGTATCTACACATATATGTTATGTTTTTATATATATGTGTGTGTGTGTGTGTGTGTGTGTATCTGCATTATGGTATATATGTGTGCTTAGAATGGTAAATTTTATGTTATATATGTATATATATGTGTGTATATATACACATATATACACTATTACAATAAAACATAAGCAAAGTGGGGGCCTGCAGGTGGCATGGATATTAAGGTGCTGGATCCCACATGGCCAGCTCAGCAGTTTTAGTCCCAGACTCAGTGGCTTGGAAATCATGCCAGGAAAGTGTGCATGCTTGCCCAAAAATCCTGAGTGGAGACTGGAGGAAAAGGGGGTGCAGCACGGCCATCCCCCTTGAGGTGTCCTTTCTCACTTTCCCCCTTTCTCCCTCTCTCTGTCTCTGGCAAGCACATGTGTCCTATATTATAAAATAAAACAAAGCAAAACAAAACCTAAGCAAAGTAACCATGTATCTTTTTTTCAGATTTTCTGTTTCAACATTTAAAAAAAAAAATGCAGACATACCTGTGACCCAGTCAAGTTGATAGAGAAGAGGACTTATTCAGTATTAAATTTCTTTTTAATTAAATTTAACAAATAGAAGAAAAGGACACCAACATGAAACGAATGAACTTCAGGTAAATGATTTCTTTTTTTAAGATTTTAAATTAAGAGACTTGTTTCTCGAACATTGTTCTAACTTTAAGAGAAAAAGTAAGAAACATTGAGAAGAAGCAATATAGTTTTTTTTTTTCATTTTTTTTTTTCTTTTTGGAGAGGTTTTTGCTATAGGGCGTGTGCGCTCGCCATACAGACAGATAGATAGAAAGCGAGAAATCACCCCCCAGGGGGGATGGCCACGCTGCAATCCCTGCTCCTCCATTCTCCTCTCGGGATCTTGGGCACGCACGCACACGCGCCCGGCGTGAGTTTAAGCCACCAGGTCCGGGACTCGAATCGCGGTCGACTACATGGGAGTCCAGCGACATAGCCATTACGCTAACTGCTGGTCCCAGAATCAATATAGTTTTTATTTTTACTTTCTCCTAATAAAATCCGGTCTGGAACACAAAAGTTTATTAGAATAAAAATATATGTACAGTATCTAACATTAAAATTATTTCACATCACATGTAGGCTTTGCCTCCATTAACTTTTTTATAAGTGCTTCTAAAGACTGTACTTTAAATAATTTGCACATCTGTAAACAAATCTTAAACTGCCAAGTATGCAATGTATCTGTAAGATATTGAACATCAAAGTCTAGGGGAGAGCACTGACAGTTATGTCCTATTGCACCAAATAGGACAAACAAAATTTTGAAAAGAGGGAAAAGAAGAAAATAATTCCATTGGAATAAAAAATATGGACTATTACATGGCTTTGCTTGTCATACTTGCACAGAAGCCATGCTAATCTCTGTATCATTCCAATTTTAGTACATGGGCGGAAGAGAACATTCGACATATTTTTAAAATTATGTTTCACTTTTGCACATTATCTATCGACTTACTTATGAAATTGGAGGAAAAAAAATACCATCATACTTGCTGCTATTTCTCTTCCCCTTCCAATCCCATTTGTCATTAGTTTTATCATTCTTTTCAATGTCTGGATTTTTAACATTTACATCTTGTTCTAAAATCACAATTCAAACAGTTGTTTACTTGTGATTCTATTTTAAGTGACTGGGAGCTCTTTGTCAGATTTTTTTGTACCCTGACTTCTCCATTTCTACCCTCTTTGATTCATCTCCTTTGTTGTCTCGATTTTAGTTTTATTTGTTTTTTCCAAGAAAGGATGATGGATTTTTATTTCTTCCCATTCTTTTATATTTATGATCTATCTGTTGCTTTTATCCTAGGAGGATAACTTAACTGCGTTTAACATTTTCAAATCCTTCATTGTTTTCCACAGCACATGGTGGACACTGCTGCATGGTCTGGCTTTGAGGGAGATACGAGGCGGTCTGAGTCAATCCTATCCCGTCTTTCATAAGTGACTTGCTTTTTGCTATTATATTATTACTTTAAAAACATTTATTAATCTTTTAAATGTAATATGTCAACTATAAAAGGTTAAATATAAAATATGCATGTTATAATTGAAATAAAATTTAAAGGGCCAGATGGCAGCACAGTGGTAATGCGATGCTCTGTGAGGCTGACCCACATGGGAAGGTTCTAGGTTTGCATCCAGAGATCTCTCTGAACATGCCGGGTCCATGCATGCCCGTGATCTGGGGTTGGCAGAAGCTGCAACTAGATCAGGGTGTAAAAATCCCATTGGGAGCTATCTGTCTCTGTTTCACTTATTTATGGAAGAAATAAATGAATCAACTTTGAAAATAAACCTTTCAAAAAATAAAAATGAAATGTAAACTTCTAAATACTCAAGAACTAAAAGAATCACCAACATCATTGGATCTACAATAGGTCTCTTCTATGTTTCATGTAGGGACATTTGCTTCCCTAAGGTAATAAATCTCCTGTTTGTTCATTATTCCCTTTCAATACTCAAAACAGTCTTATTGTGCAGGTGTGTGCATGTGTGTATCCCTAAAGAATTTACTATTTCATTTTGCTTGGTTTTGAGTTATATAGAGATGGTATCATACAAACATACAGTCTTTTCAAACTTTTTTTTGGAGAGTTTTTTGCTATAGGATGCATGTGGTTGCCAGAAAGACAGAGAGACAGAAAGCGAGAAATCAGCTCCCAGAGGGGATGGCCACACCAAGATCCATCCCTTCTCCTCCACTCTCTCGGGATCTTGGGCACGCACGCACACGCGCCTGGTGTGTTTAAGCCACCGGGTCTGGGACTCGAACCACAGTCAACTACATGGGAGTCCAGCGAAATAGCCATTATGCCAACTGCTGGTCCCCAAAGAATGCCATCTTTCTAAGAAATGACTTTTATGTTAAAAGTTCCTTTAGTGTGAGTCTGTTGATGACAAACTCAGTCTTTAACTAAAAATGTCAGTCTTTCACTCTTATACTTGATAGATAATAGCCATTGGCTTTCAACACTTTAAATAAAGAATTCTATCATCTTCTGTTTTCTGTTATCACTGTTGCACAGTCTGCTGTTCATGAAATGATCATTTTTGATCTTTGGCTGCTTAAAAAAAAAAAACTGTCTTTGTTGCTCTATAGAGGAACTACTATGTAGTAGCTGAATGTCGGTTTCCTTTCATTTATCCTACTTGGGAATTGTGCTTTCTAGAATTGTAGACTCAGAGTTTTCAGAATTATTGGAAATTTCTCAGTTGTTATTGTGCTTTGATTAGCTTTGTTCTCTCCTTCTGTGACTATGCCTTGACATAAAAGTGACCTTTTATAAACTCATAGAAAAATAAAGCAAGAGATTACGTAAGTACAAAAAAATTGAAATCCATTCAGTTTTCTTATCATATGCATTTCCCATGAACTTTATGAAGACCTTTCATATGTTAGACATTCTCATTTTATCCAAAATATTTTAAATAATTTTAATATTTAAGCCTTTTTGTGGTTTTGGATTATATGCTGATTAGTTTATTCACTTCAATCCTCAAATTCATTAGTTCTCTTTCATATGTGGTTAATCTACTTTTAAAATGTTTTCTTTTTTCTTTCAAGATGTTTGCATTTTCATGTAGAAATTTCATATTTTAATATGTAGTTATTTTTAAGAACTGTTTGACCATTCCTGATAGTTTTCATTATTTGATTAATCTGCTGGCTCTAATATAGCAGCCTTCCTTCTTCAGATGCTCAGTGATCTTTGATTATGAACTAATATTTGCCTGATTATAAATACATTGTAAGAAAAAATCTGCTGGGATGTCTTATATAATGCTTTCCTTTGGAAATCTGGTTTGTTTCTGCTGGGACCTGAGAGGATTACCAACCTGGAGCTACTTTAACTCTCTCTGAAGGTACTGGTTTAATGCAAAAATCTTAAGTTCAGTTCCCATTCCTTGCTGTTAACCCTAAGGTCACTACCAAAGTTGCAATTTACAGTCCTCCTATCGACATTTGCTCTAAGTATAACACAATTTCTCTTCTTTGCTTTTTGCTCAGTTTATTTATCTATTCATAGCTCCAAGCTCCAACATTGACTCAGTTTTTCCTTTTTCATTGGCTTGTAGTTGGGATTGAACTTGGCCATTATTTTACCCACTTCTAGGGAGTTTAGCAATAAACCAAAATGTTTTACTTAGGATTTAACTGATTTCCAGCACAGAGTGTCTTACGTATCATTGCCGTTGGAAGTGGAAGTCCTATTCTTCATCTATGAAGTTCGATAAACAAAGCCCGCACGCTGGCCATTGTCTCAGCTTTCTCAGTACTCAGAGTCCTCTGCCGATTGCAGGGGTCAAGTGTCTCTACTTATTTTTGTATTTTTTATTCAGAAATAAGTGGAGCCCAAATCATTACAAAGGGGAGATTAGGATCCACATTTTATGTCCACTCTAGTTGTGTTTTAAGAAACCCTCCTAATATTCTTTATCCATGATTTAAAGACAGATTATATTAAATTCCACCTGTAATTATTTCTGTTATAACAAAACATACGATTTTATATATTTCAGCTTTTAAAGTTTATTTATTTATTCCATGAGAGAGAGAGGAGGGGAGGGAGAGAGCAAGAGAAAGGCGGTACACACCAATAAGGTCTTTATGCTGTGATCCACCCTGAGTTCCAGCCAGCCCCATCAAGGCATGCACATGTGGTGCACCCAGAGACGTTCCCAGATGTAAACCCAGGACCTTTCTCAAGTGGTTCCACCTGTGCCACCACTTGGACCTATAATTTTCTTTTTATATCTATCCTAATCCTAGATACATATATCCATGTATAATAATATATATACATTAATAAACCCAAGCCTATGTAACTTATAAAAACAATTTAATAAATAGATAAGCATGACTGTAAGAAAGATACTTCAAGAACACTAAGGGGAACTATATAATCCTAATCTTATCTTTCTCTAAAAAGCAAGCTCTTCAAGATAAAAATAAACTGTACCTATAGGACATTTGCTTTTTATTTATGCACGAGAGCAAACAATTCCTGGTACAGAGTATAATGACTTGAAATAGCTATACATTATGTTTCAAGTAGCCTTTTAAATGATTTTTCCATTGAATTAACTCATAGTTTAAAATGATAAATTACATAAATACACCACTGAAGAGAAAAATAAGATTCCTTCTGGGCAGTATTCTTCAACAGGCCTCTAGAAAATCTGTCAACATGCACAGTCACTAACACAGCACAAATAATAATATAGTCCCGGGAGATCAAGGGGAACACAAAAGGCTATCAGTAAGGCCCTCATTTCAATGTAAGGACTCATGGCATCAGAAAACCTGAGAGGAAAGGATCACAAACACCCTCTGATAAGCTAGCCGCTCCATAAAGTTTTAAATAGCTGCTAGGAATGACCTTGCACTTTTTAAAACACTATCTGATCATTTCTACTTTATGAGTTTTGTTCAGGAGATGTATTTTACTTAACTTGTCTTGACCAAAAAATCGTATACATTTATCATAATACAACATGTTTTGTTAGCCATTTCATTGTGAACTGGCTAACTTTAATTAACATAGGCATTACCTTCTTTTGTGGTGAAAAGATACACTTAAAATCCACAGTTTAAATCTAGAAGATATGTTTTTAAAGTTAAAAGTAATTAGGTTAATGTCCTAAAATTCATTTGAGATACTTTGAGGATGGAGGATGGAGAGTAGAAAGAGACATTTCTTAAAGTTCTTTGATGACTTAGCCAAATATATGCCTTTTACAAAGTCTTTGTAGATTTTTTTTTACTCCTTACCCAGGAGGATCTCCCAAACCACTGTAGTTTCTTGGGCCAGCCAGGTAGCATCATGGTGGTTAAAGTGGCTGGATCCCACATGGCCCACCGCACAGTGAGTTCCTGACCTGCCAGCTTGCACATGCATGTACTTGAATGCCCGGAATCTAGACAGGAGAATAGAGGAGAGGGGACTATGCTGTGGTCATCTCCCCTGGAGGGTGCTTTCTTACTTCTCTTTCTCTTTGCCTATCTCCTGCAGGTACACAAGCCCCATAGCAAATTAAAAATAAATACGTAGGGACCAGTAGGTGGCATGGTGGCTAAGGCACTGGAATCCCATCTGATTGATTGCGGTTTGAGCACTGGACCTGGTGGCTTTAAAATCACGCCGGGAGCATGTACATGCATGCCCAAAATCCCAAGAGAACAGAGGAAAAAGGACTGTGGTTTGGCCATCGCCCCTGGGGAGTGATTTCTCACTTTCCCTCTGTCTCTCAGAATCTCTCTGGTGAGCGCACACACCTTATGGCAATAACCTACATATGTAAATACATAAAAATAAATAAATAAAGACCACATCTTAAAAAAATAATTTTAGTATCCTTAATTTCTCTCCGATTATTTTGATTTTCTAATTTTCTTACTCCAAC